GTGTCTGCCAATCATTGGTAAACAAGTTGTGGTCACCCCTTTGACAAAACAGGTTACCATAGCAACAATACAACCTGTTAAGAAACACCCTTAATTTTAGTTTTAATTAATAAGTGCTTATAACTCAAAAACAAGGTCGGTGACCCCCACTTTTGTATTATCGAATTGTGATAAGCAATTTTTAAATTTTCGAAAATTTAAGGTGGCTCTGATTTTATCCCTTACGTGCACTCAAAATCTTTATTTTAGAAATAGCTGACACGACTATCACGAGCAAACAACTAACTTTTGGCTTCTAGCCAAACGAACTCCGCCACAAGTTGAATCCAGTGGTTATTAGCAAGTCAAAAATCAGAAACGTAATTCATTTGTTTTTGCTTCTTTTATTTTGTTGATCCATGTAAAACTTGTAGCAAATTTCTTCTACTAAAAATAGACTCTATTAAAATAACATCACTTCAACGAACATACTATTCAATAAATAACCCTGAACTGACTTTTTTTTTCTTTAAGCATAAAATGGAAGGCCTAACTACAAAGGAAAAATAGGTCTGCAATGCATGTACACAGCAGTTGTTCACAGCAGTTAGACAGTGTTGCAATGCTGCAGAATTTCATACGCCATGTAAGCGATTTGGAATTATCATATCAGTGACCTCTTTATATATATACAGGTTACCATTTCCCCAGGTCATGCCATCAAAATAACTGCACCATGTCGACGTACGCAAAAGAACGCATTGCGGACCTACTGAGACCTACAAACTTCATAACAACAGCCCGCGTTTACTTCATAAGATGTCATCATGTTCATGCAAGAAATTATTAATTAAGAACGATTAGACGGGCTAGCGCTTGTGCTATTTACAAACCAGTCTCAGCTAAATAATGAATTGAAAGCCTGGGAACACAAAAGAAATAAGGTGCCCGAATCACATTGAACTACAATCATGGACAAAAGTCTTGGAACAAACTTGCACTTTTGGCGCTTTTGCACACACGCCAGACGCGATTACAACTTCACCTGCCTAACCTCTCCCCCAACCCCACATACAAAGTTGAAAACTAGTACCTGCAATTTCTCCCGCGTTTCAACATTGTATTGGGTGGGGAGGGGGAACAGCAACGTTTTTAAAAGGATAGCAGTGCTTTTTTCAAACTTCAGTAGTAAAACACATATAATTCTTTACATAACGTAAAGTGTCCCAAGGACCTTTGTCCACGATTGTAGACAGAAGTTTAGATTGCACATTATGGATAAACGTGGTCTACTAAACTCGGAAATAATTTTAGTTCTTTTGTATGTTTAGTAATATTCCATTTTTATTTTCAAGTTCACAATCACACAGAAAACGATTGTGATTTTGTGATTTTAAGATGTTAGCTAATCGTTTTACGTCTCAACAGTTGATATATCGACAATTTCTGCATCAAATTAGCGACTTACCGTATGACTCTTAGCTTTAAAAAAGTACCTTTAGTGGAAACCACAAAATTATTCATTTCATGAAAAATATTTCCTTTTGCTTTTCTTTCCTACTTTACACAATATTTCGATACGCCATTTCCGGGTTACCTTGGCCTCTCTTTCAAAAAGAGTCCTCGTGTAAAAATGAGCTTGATTTTCATGAAAAAGAAACTCAAGGCGGAACACATTTTAATATGAATGGTTTCGCCCGAAGACTCGTTTTGAAACAGAGGCAAAAGCCAACTCGGAAATGGCCTTGCTTATTAAAATTAGCAAGACAGAGCTCGTTTTCCATTGTACGTTAGTAACCCATTTTCAAATGAGAAATTTTTATCCCAAGACTGAGGCAAACCTACTTAACATTACTAACGTTTACCTGTTCAAATTGCTAACTCCTTAAGCAATATTTATCCCAAACAATTAGAAATGACAGGAACAGGGTTTAACTAACACTAACGTATCAAGAACTTCTGTAACTTTTATCTCACGATTTTACCCATGAGCATTTCCTGCCAGCCAATTTGTTACTAAAACTCAAACAATATTCTTCGTTAATGACTGTTTAGCCTGAATAAAAAAAAACTTCCGTTTCTTCGCGCGCTAAAAAACTTCCCCCAGGAGACGTCAAAAATTCTTTGGTCCGGGAAATTTCATTTTGATGACGCTGCTCTCCAGGGATTTACGTGCGCCTCTGATTGGTCACTCTTTTGGCGCGAAAATTAAAACCACGCAACAATCAATCAGCGTTGGCGCAAGTCATTATTATTGAATCCCTCGGGTCGTCCCTCGAGTAGATTAAGACTAGCTGCCTTATTCATATCTAAGTCAGACCAGCTAAATTCAAGCTCAAGCATCGCTTCCAAAGTGCAGACCTGCGAAATGAAACGGCTGTAGCGTTCGAAAGGAACTGCGTATAAACGAGGGACACAAGACCAATATTCAGCTCGCAAAGAGAAACTTCAGCTTGCATTGGCTATCAGAAAGAATTGTTAATCTGAAACAATTTACATTAGGCCCTAAATGGTAGTCTGGTTAAAGAAATCACTTAGCCTCAGTAAGAAAATACAACGCAAATCATACTCGTTCTCTTCACATTAAAAGAGTAAAGGTTGACGTTGAGGGATAATTCTAAAATCAGCCAATCAGTGGAAAGATACGATAAACGTCACCAAACGATCATTTTCATGATCATCTTTCTTACAGGCGGCTCCCTCCAGGTCGTCGCGTCCTCAACCTAGTGCGAACAGCGAAGATTGGGTCTATATAACTGCCGTGACTCGTCCCAGATCTCTGCTATAACGCTAGATGAACACTTCAGTGCTTTCACCATCAAGACTCAAAAGTTGAAAAGCGTCAGGCTTACCCTCCTCTTCACCATTTCGTTCAGCCTCCTGAGAAATTGTCGTCGGATTGTTCACTTTGAATCTAGACGATGGTTTGGCTTGAACGCTAGGGGGAGGGGAGGAGTCCGTGACACCGTAATTTGGAACACTAGACGTCACAAGCGGCTGGTCTTCTCTGGGTTTTTGAGGATTAACGACATCATTTGAGGGTTTAGCAACATTGAACTAAAGAGGAAGATTTGAAAACAAGTCAGTGTCACCTCAAACCCTAGGTCTCCCCTTGTGCGGCTTAGGTTATGCGATGGTGAGTCGCTGGATATTTCACGCTAAAGCCGCTGGGTCAGGTAGCAGCTCTCGCAAGGCTTTGTATGAATGACTTGATACCCTTTAAGGGAACCATAGAACAACGACACAAACAATGCCCTTAGACCCAAAACCATAACAGTTGCTACAGTACGACGACAAATAGAGTTACAAGCTTACGAGAGCTGCTACACTTCCGAAATGCTACGTCGCAGCTATCCCCCCCCCCTCCCCAACCCATACAAGAATGCAATGTTATCCGTTCAGTTAGCAGGTGGGTCGGTGATTAGGTCAGATAGTGAATTTACACAGTAGCGAATTTTATCTTTCGGCTTACCCTGTCAACTTAGACCAAGAGAAGATCTTGATTTTCTCTTGATTGAACTCAACAGCAAACCAATAATACAAGAATAACAGATAACGGGGTCACCCTAATCCTTTCAAGCCTTTTTTTTTTGCATCGGATATTGTCTTATCTGTTAAGGAGCCATTACAACAGCTGTTCATGAGTTCTCGTAATCTCATAGCCCGTTTCCCTGGAAATGTATGGGTTCTGTAAGGAGAATTCACGTAGAGATCATTTCTGGGGCTTGAACGTCCTCACCCAAGCAGGACAAATGCAAGACCACACGAGTCACTTCTACGAAGTACAGCCATGTAAATCATATCTACACACTTACCCTTGATCTAGGCATATCAATTGGCTTTGAAGGAGTCGTGGTATCTACTGCAAAATTTTCAAATGCCAGTGGAGCCTGCGCAACTTGTGTTGAATTGTCTACCGCAGGAGTCTGGGCTTTAGTGTTGACCGCAAACCTTGAATTCCCGGATGACGAATCGCCAGACTTTTTCCTTTTGGAAGTTGACAATGGATCATCCTCAACTTGTTCTAAAGTTTTTACCGCAGGAGTCTGAGGAGCAGAGTTGACTGCGAACCTTGAATTCCCGGATAACGAGTCACCGGGGTTTTTCTTTACAGAAATATCTAAAGACGTTTTCCGTGAATGAGTTACCGATTTTAAAGGAATAGCAACCGCATTTTCCGGCGAAGGAGTCGGCGGAGCCGAACTTCCTCGAAGAGCATTACGTCTTTCTTGTTCCGGTGAAGTTGGAGCCGAGTGGATGATTCGAGAAGCCGGCAAAGCGGGAATCTTGGAACGAGAAGTTGGGGGACTCTCAGGACGCGCTAAAGGAGTGATGGGAAGAACACGCTGGTGTGGTTTCTCGGGAAGGGATGAGCTGCAACTAGGCGCGGGTTTCTCTCGGTTGGCATTTTGTGGAGGACCAAATAAGTTTTGCAAAGACGAAGGCATTGAAACCGGTTGCCCTGAATTAGAAGGTGCAGGTCCATCCGTATGATCAACCAATCCATCTGGGTTACGGCCGAACAAATTCGCTAGTGGAAGATTCCCCTTGTTCTTGTTAACTGAAAAGCGCCCGTCGACTAAACTCGTACCAGGAGAATTTTTAAGACCTTTATAAAGATCTTCAGGGAGAACTTTTCGATCCAACTCAGGTGTGTTGAGGGAACTGGTGCCCGTCTCATAAGAACCAGATCGACTGTCTAATGCAATTAACGGCTCGTTTTCATCTAACATCCAAGATGGCCGTGAATACTTAGAAGGGTCTGAATGGGATCCGGGAGAAACAAAAACGCTGTCCTCATAGTCGGATTCGTCCCGATCATCAGACGAACCCAGGGTTTCTTTCGAAAACTTAACCTTCTTCGAATCACGTCCACTACCGTCCACTTCCTGAGCTCGTAAAAGCTCCTGAGCCAGGGATGCACGGGAGGAGCTGGCGGTCAAGCTATCGCTATTGGATCTTTTTAATTTCATCCCCGGAAGTATTGTTGTACTTCCGGTGAGCCCGCGACGCGTCAAGTCTTCCAAGCGAGAAGCGGTTTCTGGATAAAGGGACAATTTCCGATGGGCGTGGTCTGCGTCTTCGTCTCCGTGCTCCACTTTGCGGAAGCTCGGTTTCCTGAGGATGGGCTTTCGTCTGTGTGGCACCTTAACAGGATGGGTCATCACGGGACCAGGTCCGTCGTCATTGTCACTCTCACTGAGGTCATTCTTTTCCTTACCTTTTGTAGTCACGGTGAAGCGGCCGATGGTTATTGTCCTGTTTGTGAGTAACGACTGAGCGGTCCAGTCTTCCAGCTGCATAAAGGAAAGAAATAACAACTTACTTTCAGATCTGACTCTTTTCTGTGGGAATATTTTTGACACGATATCACAACTAATGACCTATCGGAAGACATGGGTCAGTGTTGAGCGGTTACTTCCTAGCTCCTAGGCCTCGATATCTCGCCGCGGCCAATCCTTTCGGGGTCATGTGGTCCAAGCGAAATAGCCTCTTCCAGGCGTTCAGTTAGTTGGGGCGCAGCGCGAAACAGGGCGAGCGAAAAAATTGCGGAGAAGCTTTCTCCACTAATTTTTTCGTTCGCCGTTTTTCTTGCTGCGCCACAACTAACTGAACGCTTGGAAGAGGCTACGAGCGAAAAAGCGAGTTCTCCGTCCGTTCGTCTGGGATACGTCACCGAAATGAATTGACTTTGGTGGCCTAAGAGAAAGCCGTACAGGAAGGTTACTGTATAGGTTTTTGGAGGCCGATACGGTGGTCTGTTTAGGTGTTTTTCTGTGTTCCGAATGTTGGTATAAAATCTCGGAGTACCACATAACGTACTTCTCAGTGAACACGTAAATGTATTCAAATATGGTATTTGTTGCTTCGAAGCATTGATAACAAAAAGAAACGTTCAAAATACTGCGTGATGCATACATGTACTATACAAATGAAATAAGTAACATAAAAGGATATGAGAAGTGCCATTATTTTAAGGAATGAAACCAAACCTATAGGGCTTAGCCCTCAACCAGTGGTACATGTAGATAACGATACATAAATATGAAGGTTTGTATTTGCTCCTCACCGGCCCAAGATTAATATCATCCTCGCTTATACCATCAAACGGGTCATCTAACACATCCTGAACACCTTGTAATGTGCCAAATATGAACGATGTCAACACGGCAATGTAATAAGGGCTCCACAAGTTGCCGGACTTTATACCCATGTGCACGTAATACGGAGACAGCACGATGGGCATAAGGAAAATAAACACTTTAGTGAACGAACGAATGGTCCGTGGAGAGCGGTATTCCCTGATCACACGGAGTCTTTCAAACGCATGACACATCAAACTGTGGAGTACAAATTAATAATACAATATTTTATCTTATATCACAATTAGAATGAGTAACCATTAAATGCACGCGAGTTAAAGGACTTAAGGTCGGCACAACCTGGGGGACATGTTGAGGGAACCGACGTGAAGCGGCGGCGGGACCATGCAGCCCCTTCGTGTGTACGCATAGGCCGCATGCTGCGGGGACAGCAGGCAAGCTGGGACACACGAAGCGGATATTTTTTCATTTGTAAGTTTTAACGGGGACAGTTTGCAAGAACAGTACACACGATGCGACACATTTGAAATTTGGGGTCGTTTTATCCCTGCTTCATGAGGCACGAATCCAAACCAGTTGAACTTTATGCAACCTGTTAGGGGAACAAACGTTTGTTCCCACAACAGAACTTGTTTGCAAAAATGGGCATATCACACGAGGAAAACTGTCGTTGCAACATGCCCCGGCTTTCTATCCAAACTTTGAAAGAATTTTCAATTATCATTAGTGTGCCCGATTCCAAAGCAAGTTGTCCAAGTTTGAGTCCTGGGAAGGTTCATTGCGTTGTGCTCTTGGGCTAAATACTTTTCTCTCAGAGTGCCTCTCTCACACCAAGTGTAAACACACGGATACTGGACAATCTTAGGCTGGAGCTTATCCTGTGATGGATTAGTAACCCATCCAGGGGGAGCAGAAACACTCATAGTTTCATACCAGGGAAACTGGAGATAAACACCAACCTGATGGGCCACTAGGGTTGAATGAAGACTTAACCAACGATATAACATGGATAAAGGTGAAGCAACAACATGCCACACACAGAAAGGACATCTGCTATGTGAACTAAAACCACCATGATAGGGTGATTTTGATTAAATTGTCCCTGCCTCTATAATCAGTAGTTTTTTCTAAAAAAGCAATAAGTAGCAAACATGCTTGGCACAATAAAGCTGCACAGAAAACACTGCTCAAAAGAGATGTAACCTACAGGGACCATACCCATAACGCCTGTTAAACTCAGTATGCTTGATAGGCACTTGATGTTATGGGCAAAATAATTTTTAACAACTTTTAATATCAACAAAAGACAATTATTGTCTTTTGTTGATACAATTAACCCAGAAGGTTACAAGTTTGTTATGGGTGTGAAGATCAAGGCAACAGGTTACTCAAAACTTAACAACAGCCCTGACCCAGAAGAAAGTTAGGAATAAAGATCTGCACTCACTTGTGATAGTGAATGAGTCTGGTTACTAGAGGAGAATTGTGAGGTAAACTTGAACTCCTTATCTTGTCATTCAACTGGCTTATGTCACTCAAATCTTCATAAATAACCTGAAATTATGCACAAGAATGGCATTAGATTTCACTGTCAAAGTGGTACTGTGAAAAGTAACAAATTTTACTTACTGAAAGAATGAAGCTCCTCCTCATAAGTTTCTCAGTTAATAGATATTCTTTGATATTCAAAACCAAACCTTTTAATTTAGTATTCACAGTTTTCAGAAAATCTTGGGGTAAACCTGAAAAAAAACAAGGTAAATATAAATAATAAGCCACTAGTTTGCAGCTGAAGTCTGTAGCAACATTCTCATCTCCCAAAAATAAAATTTAATGAGGGTTAGAGAGGATAATTATGATGAATATTATTTGTATTATAAGAGTAACACTAAGAAAATTACTTTATTGTGATTAGCTGAAGGCAGGCAAAGTTTTCACTTATTTTTAATTTTCACTGTAGTGTACATTAATGCATGCACCTTTATAATTTTCTCAGTTATATAATACATGTAAAAGCTTACTAATAAGCAATTAAGGGTTTAATGTGTACTACTTGAGATGTTCGACCATTCTTTCAAATTGCACTCAAGCCTCGTGCGATTTTGGTAGAATTTTCAAATATCACTGGTAGTGTAAATCTTGAAATAAAATACTGCACTGTCTAATATTTATGTCACAAACTGTCATTTCTTACCACATTAATAAAAATAATGCTTTATTTATTTACTAGAACTGATGACATAATTGTAGTAACCTCTACATGAAAATGAGATGTCAACATGAAATTAAATATGAAATAAAATATGTCAAATTCAAAAATGCTGAAAATATTCAGGGGGTGCTGAATCGTAGAGGCTTGCACCAGTTGGTTTGGCCACCTTACGATAAAATAATGTCCATTCTTAAATATCTCGACATTCTCAAGAATCACTTATCTTTGTATTTTCCTTTATGCCTAATACCTGAACACTCTAGAACATTACCTGAAGACTGAAGCCAGTCCCTATGGCAAAAAAATAATACCACAAGAGCACCTTTAAACTGTGCTAAGTCTTCAAGAACTCTCTCGCGACGCTGGAAATCAGCTAAAAACCAACAACAACAGGAAATAATAACAAAGTCACTGCAAGTACATGTACTACTTACAAAATTAGATACAGTGCATATTAACAGGGATCCATATTGTTTTTTTTCTCCAAGTCATCAGCCGGGCAAGTATGCCAAATGACATACTTGCCCAGGCAAAATTTTACTTGCCCATTCACATACCATGTGATACACTTTGGGATGGATAGAAGGGAATTAGAAAAGAACAAAAAACTTTTATCAAATAAACTTTGATCAGCAAGGCCGAAGATGTCTGTGGCAAACAGTTTTTTCGGTTCCTTTTTTTCTGAATCACAGTAACAACACGGTACAGGAAACAATCCTTACCAGGAAATCCTAGAGGTTGCAACAGAACAACATGTAAATGGAAAGTTTACTTTTTTTATTATTTTTCAAATTTTCATGTTACAAGTTTCTCAGTACATAATGTCCGTAGTTGCAGCTGTCGGTGGACACAGAAAAAACAGATACAAATAAAAACCAAGGCCTCTTTGACTGCCATGAAGGCTGAAAGGAAAGCTTTCGCTCTTCCTGCTCGTATTTGGCTTGTTTTTCCGAGGTGTTAACAATCATTACTAAACGCCTCATCAAAACAACCAAAACAGCTGATTCGATCATGTGACCTGTTTTTTGCCGACGAAGATGCAGCACAGAGCATCAGCGGTTGATAAAATGAAAATTGAGCCTGCAATGATTTCATTCTCTACGTCATTCAAGATGGTGGGCCAAAATGATGATTTTATCGTGAAAGAAAGCTGCAAATCTTTCTCTGTTTTCTACAACTTCCAAATGGATAACAAGTGGTCAGAATGCAGGGAACCCATAAGAAAATTTAAGAAATGTTTTTTTTCCTGTTAGAGTCAAATTCTAGTTGTCCAGTGGAGGAGTTTCTGTATTGTTTTGGTCGTCCATAAGATTTTTAGTCGTCACAGATGACTGGATGACTGCGAATATGGATCCCTGTATTAATAAATATTCCTCTGCTCATCTAGCTAAAACACTTGTTTGTTCTTCTCAAGTTGATATACGCCAATCTGGTCAAGGACACTGTCAAGGCAAGCAAGTTCTTTGAGTGGGGAGGGCAGGAGAAACATTGTGTAGTGTAGGCAATGGGTAAAGTCTGCATACAAGCCAAGTGGCCCATTAGGATGGTGCTTATGTCTGGCTTCTGTAGCTTGATGTACCTAAGAGTATTCTACTCCATCTGGATGGGATGCTAGTCCATCCTGGGGTCACCCCCCAGCATTAAATATGCCGGTACCCATTTATACACCTGGCTGGAGAGAGGTGCTATGAAAGTAAAGCGTCTTGTCCATGAACGTAACTCAATGACCCTGGCCAGAGCTCGAACCCGGACCACTTGATCTGGATTGGAGTGATGCCAGCATGCTTCCCTATTGTCTACATGTACTGGTTAGAAACCAAGATGCTATTCAACAAAACTTCATCCACAGACATATCATTTAGCATTATATTTCCCTCTTGCTGGGTGACCATTGAGACGAGAGGTAGATAATAACAACAGGCTAACATATCGCATCAGAACTCTGAAAGGTACATGCACATGTGTAATCTACTTTTGTCACAACCAGGATTTTGCATGTTACTGGCAAAAACTGCAAAGCCAATCAGAACTCTAAACCCTTTGGGACCCAGAGGAATTTGACCGAAAATGTTCCTCCCAGTGTGATAATTTGCCTCTAACATGTTCCTGCACAGAAAACTTGTAAATTGTGGGATCTATCTAGATACATGTAGAACATATGGGCATGAAGTCAGGCCTTCTGATAGGGTGCAATTATAAGAAAACAGAAATCATGCAAAATTTTCAGGGCAGATAACTTGATAAGAAGAGCTATTATGCAATAAATTAGAGAAATTATGTGATTTTTTCCTGAGCTTTTGTAAGCATATTTTAATAGGTTTCATAACAAGAATACCACTTCAATTGTCCAATCAGATGCAATTTGAGGTCAATTGTGCAAACTTGCACCATCGCGTAATATCAGAAGGCCTGTGAAGTACTATAGGACCTCACAAATACATTGAACAGAATAATGAAAAACATTTCCTGTAACTCACCATTAATGGAAAAGGCCAAAGGAAATACAATTGGTGAAACAAAGATACTCATATGTACATCAAAATCCAATCCTGTAAATTGAAAACAAAAGGTGTGTATGCAGTGAGGTATTACAGTGGGCATGTGGTAAGTGTGTTATAATGGAGGTCTTCAGAGGACTGCAGGGGTTTCTAGCTTGCCTGGTGTATTACACTCAGAGCTCTTCAAACAATTGTATAAATGCGATGGATATAAACTTACTGTTACACAAAATAATTTGACAAGACTGCTAGGAATATGGATATTTACTGGAACAACATTATTGTACCGTGGATATTTTCCTAGCTTGTTGCCGTAACATTGTGATAGTATACTCACTTAGTTTCTGGCACATGAATGTCCCAAGTGCTGATAATGTAAAAGAAAGAACAAATTCAATTAATTAACAAGGGCAATTTGACCAAATATTTGGAGGTGACTTGTGATGAATTTCTCCTCTTCAGGGGGAGTTGTAGCAGCCCTACATGTGCCACATGCTACAGAACACGGAATGAGTTTTGGTGCAAATACAGACTTCACATTTACCAGAGCTGCAAATAGTATTTTTCTCTTGAAAGGACATAATTTATGTCCTACTAAGACACCATCTTGGTCAGAAAAATCAAATTGTGGTCAGACATCACCAAAAAGGTAAGATTTACTCATGGTAGATTTTATTCATCCTTCCCGTAAAATGATTTATGATAAAAAAAAATTGTCCGGACACCATGTCCGACCACAGTTGGGATTTCGTCAGACATGAGTAAATTTTGATCAGCCAAT